AATAAGTCAGGTTTTTGAGTAGTTTGAAGTAGAGAATCAAATTAGACTTAAGCCTTCTCTTCCAAAGGAGTTCTATTCCTAAGATTTGGCATCGGAAACTGTAGTCAATGACTGAGTCAGTCTTAAGTATTTTGCGGGTGAAGTCTCGTTGTATTCCTTGCACCTTTAGTATATCAGATAGGCGTCAGTTGGAAAATAAGAACGAGCAGTATTCAACGATAGGTCTTACACAAACTTTATAAAGGATTTCAGATTCAGTTTGATAGAAATTACGGAGAATGAAGCCAAGCAGTTTCGGCATTTTAGATGCTTTGGCTGAGATCTGTTCAGAGAAATTAAGACTGTGTGAGTAATGTACCTCTGTATCAGTTACTGATGCCAGTCTGGGCAGTGTGTTTGCACCAGTCGTCTACCATTTTGAGTTCATGTTGGATTGTTTGCATAGTACTATGTACATCGCAAATGTCAGTTTTATAGATGACTTTCAAGTCATCGGCATAGAGGTAGGTCTTACCTGTGCTAAAGCGCTACGGACTGGACGCTACTTTCAGGCAGAGGCCTTCGGTTTTCTTTTTCCAGGATTCTCACAGAGCTGGATGGATTATTTCTTCTCTTTTCTTGGAATTACGGAAGATAACTCAATCCTGAACTATTAACATATAAACTGTGAATTTCATGCTATATGATAAGATCGGAGTTTAACTTATTCATGGTATTTATGATCATATTCATACAATAATTCATAATCATATAATTACATATATCCATTTTGGCTGTACGATCAAACGATGCTCTGTCATTTTTAAAACCATACATAATCATTCGACGAAGAATTGCAATTCATATCTGTATTCTATTCCTAAAGGAATAGAAGGTTATATCGTGTTTGGATGCTATAACCCACGTACTTTATGTATTTACAGGATCTATTCAAACCTCTACATAATCTCAAGAAATATATATAGTCGTATATGTTAAAGCACTGTACTCACTATTTCATGAACTATCATTTAAATCATATTTGGATACTATGACTCATTTAATTTCCGAAATTTCCTGTCCAATTCGGTGAGTCTGTCATAGTTTTTTTGACAGTATTTTTTATCCAAAAAGCTGTTTCATATATTTGTTCATAAAGCAACTTAATAATCTTGAACGGTAATAATCTTTTAAACTACTTATCTCTGCACTTCTCAATTTTTACTAATGCGGACTTTTAGTTTATATATGTATCACATACTGTACTCACTTTGTTTGATACTAATTATCGACATTTCTAAATTACTTTATTATATAAGGCTGTCTTTCGTGTAATATATATGTTAAGATTTACACAACGTGCTCCTTTATGTTCTATTTTGCCTCCAAACAGATACTGACATAAATACTACATCTCCACTACTATCTTCCTGCCATTCTCATCTCTTGTTTTTGACATATTCACTAATCCTCATGATATATTCACTTTTGGTTAAAACAGGTTTTGATTTCCAGACTAACTTAAGCCCTTGGAATTGATTTTTCACCCATTTCTATTTCCAACATTTTGTTCAACCCATCTGCTATACGTCAATTTCTTATCATGCCACAAAAGAAAATGAAGACCCCTGCTTCTAGGCATCCAGCCAAACGTAGGAAAACGACACAATCTAACACTACTACTGACACGATTTCCGATAGTTTCATCGAGACGAGCTACTCTGTTCATCCGGAAGCAGACAAGCTTTTACCAGTTGTCTCCATTCCAAACATGTTGAAGAATCTATTGGTGAACAGTGATGATAATTGCAACTGCAACCACATGGATGATATAAAAAAGTTGCAAGTAGACATGAACATTTTCAATCCGCTTAAATATCTCATCAACCCCCAACCTCAGAGACTCCAGATCAAATGAACGACATAAATAATTTCCTAGATCGTGTTGCATCAGAGGTATTTGAAAGAATAAGACGACCTAGCAATGCAATTATGTTTAATATACCGGACACATATGCCCTTAAAAATATCAAATCTAGTCTGCTTAGAGCCAACAATATGAAACACGTACCATGTGTATGCACAAGATTAAAAAGAAGTCATCCTGGTATGCACTCACCGATCTTGTTCAAATTCAACTCATCTGTAGACGCCAGTGAGTTTTTAACTTCCTCCAATTCATTGAGACAAAAACAGGTTTTCAAGGATATTAAGATTCTTCCAGATAGAACACCATGCCAGCGAAAAACAGGAAGAGATAGCTACAGACCACCAGCGTCAAACTCCCAAACGCATCATAATCCTAATGGTCGTAAAATTAAGTCCGATTCTAAGAGGACGTCTAGCTTTACAAGTATGCCCCTACCGAAAAACTCTTCTGAATCTCCTAAAGTTCAAAACCCAGAAGAAAGTAATCTCGATGTAGGTGGTGTCCATCCTCTTAAGAATGTTGACTTAGATTCAACCCATAGTAGTTGTGCTGATGACGAATGGGATAACACAGTCCAAACCACCGTTGGTGCAACACCCAGTTACAGCAACTGTGCAACGGATAACAGGAAAACTAGTCATAACATTTATATAACTGACCGCACACTTAACCTCAATATATTCGAACCTCGCAAACCATCGCAGGTATGTTTAACAACACACGATTCTCCCCAAACTATGAAGAAACCGAAATTAACCACAAACCTTGGAAATAAACATCTGGAACATGTTACCCATACGTCAGGTATAAATAGTAATCTGAATTGTAAATGGCCACTTGGTCGCACACATAGACCTGATAGCCTTCTTGGTCCAGCTCCCAATATGTACACTATACTTTTATCAGATGTTACATCCAATAGCAATGAGAAGACTTTTTGTGATTCCGCCAGCAACGGTAAACATATTTCAAATGATGACAAAGTGGTTGAATCTATTTCCCCTCGCAACACAACTCTTACCTTAGCCAATCCTACAAGTATTCATGGAACAACTAATTGCGATTTATACTCTAACCTGCTTCACTATGATAACTCTGAGTTTCTTATTCTTTCGTTCGATGCCCGCTCTCTATCCAATAAAATTATTCATCTTAAAACCCTTTTATTCCTTGTAAATCCAACCATCGTACTCATTACGGAAACGTGGTGCGATTCATCTATATCCGATCACTCCTTAAATGTAGATAACTACGTTTTCTTTAGAACCGATAGATGTTATGGATTAGGAGGCGGTACAATTATCTATGTCCATTCAGACATTCAGGCGTGCAAATTTGAGGATAAATCTCTTGATGCTATAGACGACTCCACTTGGGTTACTGTAAACTGTGGACCTCAAAATTATCTACTGGTGGGATATATATACAGACCACCTCATACGGATACTAAGTTTGACAAATTACTAACAAACATCTTTTCCATTGCTTCGCACCAACCACATACTTTTAAAATCATCGGAGGTGATTTTAATCTGCCAAAAGTTACATGGGATTCGACTCCGGTACCAGGTCGATATAACAAGCTAGTTGAAACACTAGAAATTTGTGGATGGGTTCAACAGGTCCGAAAACCGACTAGCGAGAATAATATACTTGATTTACTGTTTACAATCAACATAGACTCTATCTCAGTGCATACCAGTCATGAGTTTTTTTTGAGTGATCATAGAGTTGTATTGAGTATTATTCATTCTTTAAACACCATACAATTGAACTCTAAAGCTTCAGTGATGTACCAGAGCAGACATTTTGATCAACAAACCTGGAAATGAACTGGAACTCTCATTCAGTGTTTACCATGGGAAACTTATTTTACCACAAATAGTTGACATTGCGCTTTCCAATCTATACCACAACCTGATATATTGCCTTGATTGCACTGCTCCAGTTATTGACCGTGTGGCTTATAATGCTAATAGGGGCCAGAATACTTTTAAAAGAAAGCTGAGGGAGTTAAAACGCCGCTACTGCGAGAAAAATGACGTGTATGCACTTCAGAGTATACTTAAATTAATCGACAGAAATGCTTCATCTAAACACAAGTATTTTATAAATATAGAAAATAAAGCCCTACATAGTAAAAGTCCAGAACTATCAATACTTCGTGTGAAGCCGAATTCCCTTGGCACGACTAAATTCTTGATAGTTAACGGAAGCATTGTTGACGACCCTAATATTATTTGCGAACAATTCAGCAAGCACTTCTCGCAATACTACAAAACTGGAACTGAAAGCTCTATCATTACATTTCCAATGCTGACATGCAGACACCTATCGAAAATTGATTTTATACCCTCCAACATCAAGCAGGCCATAGCTGCCCTGAAAAAGTCTTATGATGGTGGACCTGACGGGACCCCTTCATCATTTGTGAAATATGGGAGTAAAGAATTCCCACTGTTTTGTTTGAAACTTTTCAACCTATCTATGGAATATGGGATCTATCTATATGTATGGAAAACATCTCTTATCACCCCTAGATTCAAAACAGGATCACGTAGTGATATTGTTGACTATAGGCTAATTAATTTAACATCAGTGCTCTCAAGAACCATGGAAAAAATCATCCACAAACAGCTATTATCATTTTTACTTTCGGCTAGTCTGATTAGCACATCCCAACACGGGTGGTTTATGACTAAACGCTCATGTTTCACATCGCATCTGGAATTTTTGGATCAAATTACCCAGAGAAGAGATGTTGGTCAATCAGTGATGATTTCTTACTTCGATTTTGGTAAGGCTTTCGACAGTGTCTCACACAAACGTCTTCTAAAACTCTCTTCATTTGGCATACAGAATCCCCTTTTATCTTGGCTCAAATCTTTTTTTAGAAGAACGTAGCCGAGTCGTTCGCTTTAGATCTTGCTATTCTAAACCTGTGAATGCAACCAGTGGGGTTATACAAGGAAGTGTGATTGGTTCATTAATCTTTCTCCTTTTTATCAATGACGTGTGTTCCCTCTTTCAGTATGGCAAGCCTTTCCTTTTTGCCGATGACCTAAATGTAGTTTATCCGTTCTCTTCTCCCACCAAAGAAAGCTATACTTCAGCGGTAATCCAAGAAGAAATAAACAATTTATACGAATGGACTAGGTCATCGGCAAAAAGGAAAGGCTTGCCATACTGAAAGAGGGAACACACGTCATTGATAAAAAGGAGAAAGATTAATGAACCAATCACACTTCCTTGTATAACCCCACTGGTTGCATTCACAGGTTTAGAATAGCAAGATCTAAAGCGAACGACTCGGCTACGTTCTTCTAAAAAAAGATTTGAGCCAAGATAAAAGGGGATTCTGTATGCCAAATGAAGAGAGTTTTAGAAGACGTTTGTGTGAGACACTGTCGAAAGCCTTACCAAAATCGAAGTAAGAAATCATCACTGATTGACCAACATCTCTTCTCTGGGTAATTTGATCCAAAAATTCCAGATGCGATGTGAAACATGAGCGTTTAGTCATAAACCACCCGTGTTGGGATGTGCTAATCAGACTAGCCGAAAGTAAAAATGATAATAGCTGTTTGTGGATGATTTTTTCCATGGTTCTTGAGAGCACTGATGTTAAATTAATTAGCCTATAGTCAACAATATCACTACGTGATCCTGTTTTGAATCTAGGGGTGATAAGAGATGTTTTCCATACATATAGATAGATCCCATATTCCATAGATAGGTTGAAAAGTTTCAAACAAAACAGTGGGAATTCTTTACTCCCATATTTCACAAATGATGAAGGGGTCCCGTCAGGTCCACCATCATAAGACTTTTTCAGGGCATCTATGGCCTGCTTGATGTTGGAGGGTATAAAATCAATTTTCGATAGGTGTCTGCATGTCAACATTGGAAATGTAATGATAGAGCTTTCAGTTCCAGTTTTGTAGTATTGCGAGAAGTGCTTGCTGAATTGTTCGCAAATAATATTAGGGTCGTCAACAATGCTTCCGTTAACTATCAAGAATTTAGTCGTGCCAAGGGAATTCGGCTTCACACGAAGTATTGATAGTTCTGGACTTTTACTATGTAGGGCTTTATTTTCTATATTTATAAAATACTTGTGTTTAGATGAAGCATTTCTGTCGATTAATTTAAGTATACTCTGAAGTGCATACACGTCATTTTTCTCGCAGTAGCGGCGTTTTAACTCCCTCAGCTTTCTTTTAAAAGTATTCTGGCCCCTATTAGCATTATAAGCCACACGGTCAATAACTGGAGCAGTGCAATCAAGGCAATATATCAGGTTGTGGTATAGATTGGAAAGCGCAATGTCAACTATTTGTGGTAAAATAAGTTTCCCATGGTAAACACTGAATGAGAGTTCCAGTTCATTTCCAGGTTTGTTGATCAAAATGTCTGCTCTGGTACATCACTGAAGCTTTAGAGTTCAATTGTATGGTGTTTAAAGAATGAATAATACTCAATACAACTCTATGATCACTCAAAAAAAACTCATGACTGGTATGCACTGAGATAGAGTCTATGTTGATTGTAAACAGTAAATCAAGTATATTATTCTCGCTAGTCGGTTTTCGGACCTGTTGAACCCATCCACAAATTTCTAGTGTTTCAACTAGCTTGTTATATCGACCTGGTACCGGAGTCGAATCCCATGTAACTTTTGGCAGATTAAAATCACCTCCGATGATTTTAAAAGTATGTGGTTGGTGCGAAGCAATGGAAAAGATGTTTGTTAGTAATTTGTCAAACTTAGTATCCGTATGAGGTGGTCTGTATATATATCCCACCAGTAGATAATTTTGAGGTCCACAGTTTACAGTAACCCAAGTGGAGTCGTCTATAGCATCAAGAGATTTATCCTCAAATTTGCACGCCTGAATGTCTGAATGGACATAGATAATTGTACCGCCTCCTAATCCATAACATCTATCGGTTCTAAAGAAAACGTAGTTATCTACATTTAAGGAGTGATCGGATATAGATGAATCGCACCACGTTTCCGTAATGAGTACGATGGTTGGATTTACAAGGAATAAAAGGGTTTTAAGATGAATAATTTTATTGGATAGAGAGCGGGCATCGAACGAAAGAATAAGAAACTCAGAGTTATCATAGTGAAGCAGGTTAGAGTATAAATCGCAATTAGTTGTTCCATGAATACTTGTAGGATTGGCTAAGGTAAGAGTTGTGTTGCGAGGGGAAATAGATTCAACCACTTTGTCATCATTTGAAATATGTTTACCGTTGCTGGCGGAATCACAAAAAGTCTTCTCATTGCTATTGGATGTAACATCTGATAAAAGTATAGTGTACATATTGGGAGCTGGACCAAGAAGGCTATCAGGTCTATGTGTGCGACCAAGTGGCCATTTACAATTCAGATTACTATTTATACCTGACGTATGGGTAACATGTTCCAGATGTTTATTTCCAAGGTTTGTGGTTAATTTCGGTTTCTTCATAGTTTGGGGAGAATCGTGTGTTGTTAAACATACCTGCGATGGTTTGCGAGGTTCGAATATATTGAGGTTAAGTGTGCGGTCAGTTATATAAATGTTATGACTAGTTTTCCTGTTATCCGTTGCACAGTTGCTGTAACTGGGTGTTGCACCAACGGTGGTTTGGACTGTGTTATCCCATTCGTCATCAGCACAACTACTATGGGTTGAATCTAAGTCAACATTCTTAAGAGGATGGACACCACCTACATCGAGATTACTTTCTTCTGGGTTTTGAACTTTAGGAGATTCAGAAGAGTTTTTCGGTAGGGGCATACTTGTAAAGCTAGACGTCCTCTTAGAATCGGACTTAATTTTACGACCATTAGGATTATGATGCGTTTGGGAGTTTGACGCTGGTGGTCTGTAGCTATCTCTTCCTGTTTTTCGCTGGCATGGTGTTCTATCTGGAAGAATCTTAATATCCTTGAAAACCTGTTTTTGTCTCAATGAATTGGAGGAAGTTAAAAACTCACTGGCGTCTACAGATGAGTTGAATTTGAACAAGATCGGTGAGTGCATACCAGGATGACTTCTTTTTAATCTTGTGCATACACATGGTACGTGTTTCATATTGTTGGCTCTAAGCAGACTAGATTTGATATTTTTAAGGGCATATGTGTCCGGTATATTAAACATAATTGCATTGCTAGGTCGTCTTATTCTTTCAAATACCTCTGATGCAACACGATCTAGGAAATTATTTATGTCGTTCATTTGATCTGGAGTCTCTGAGGTTGGGGGTTGATGAGATATTTAAGCGGATTGAAAATGTTCATGTCTACTTGCAACTTTTTTATATCATCCATGTGGTTGCAGTTGCAATTATCATCACTGTTCACCAATAGATTCTTCAACATGTTTGGAATGGAGACAACTGGTAAAAGCTTGTCTGCTTCCGGATGAACAGAGTAGCTCGTCTCGATGAAACTATCGGAAATCGTGTCAGTAGTAGTGTTAGATTGTGTCGTTTTCCTACGTTTGGCTGGATGCCTAGAAGCAGGGGTCTTCATTTTCTTTTGTGGCATGATAAGAAATTGACGTATAGCAGATGGGTTGAACAAAATGTTGGAAATAGAAATGGGTGAAAAATCAATTCCAAGGGCTTAAGTTAGTCTGGAAATCAAAACCTGTTTTAACCAAAAGTGAATATATCATGAGGATTAGTGAATATGTCAAAAACAAGAGATGAGAATGGCAGGAAGATAGTAGTGGAGATGTAGTATTTATGTCAGTATCTGTTTGGAGGCAAAATAGAACATAAAGGAGCACGTTGTGTAAATCTTAACATATATATTACACGAAAGACAGCCTTATATAATAAAGTAATTTAGAAATGTCGATAATTAGTATCAAACAAAGTGAGTACAGTATGTGATACATATATAAACTAAAAGTCCGCATTAGTAAAAATTGAGAAGTGCAGAGATAAGTAGTTTAAAAGATTATTACCGTTCAAGATTATTAAGTTGCTTTATGAACAAATATATGAAACAGCTTTTTGGATAAAAAATACTGTCAAAAAAACTATGACAGACTCACCGAATTGGACAGGAAATTTCGGAAATTAAATGAGTCATAGTATCCAAATATGATTTAAATGATAGTTCATGAAATAGTGAGTACAGTGCTTTAACATATACGACTATATATATTTCTTGAGATTATGTAGAGGTTTGAATAGATCCTGTAAATACATAAAGTACGTGGGTTATAGCATCCAAACACGATATAACCTTCTATTCCTTTAGGAATAGAATACAGATATGAATTGCAATTCTTCGTCGAATGATTATGTATGGTTTTAAAAATGACAGAGCATCGTTTGATCGTACAGCCAAAATGGATATATGTAATTATATGATTATGAATTATTGTATGAATATGATCATAAATACCATGAATAAGTTAAACTCCGATCTTATCATATAGCATGAAATTCACAGTTTATATGTTAATAGTTCAGGATTGAGTTATCTTCCGTAATTCCAAGAAAAGAGAAGAAATAATCCATCCAGCTCTGTGAGAATCCTGGAAAAAGAAAACCGAAGGCCTCTGCCTGAAAGTAGCGTCCAGTCCGTAGCGCTTTAGCACAGGTAAGACCTACCTCTATGCCGATGACTTGAAAGTCATCTATAAAACTGACATTTGCGATGTACATAGTACTATGCAAACAATCCAACATGAACTCAAAATGGTAGACGACTGGTGCAAACACACTGCCCAGACTGGCATCAGTAACTGATACAGAGGTACATTACTCACACAGTCTTAATTTCTCTGAACAGATCTCAGCCAAAGCATCTAAAATGCCGAAACTGCTTGGCTTCATTCTCCGTAATTTCTATCAAACTGAATCTGAAATCCTTTATAAAGTTTGTGTAAGACCTATCGTTGAATACTGCTCGTTCTTATTTTCCAACTGACGCCTATCTGATATACTAAAGGTGCAAGGAATACAACGAGACTTCACCCGCAAAATACTTAAGACTGACTCAGTCATTGACTACAGTTTCCGATGCCAAATCTTAGGAATAGAACTCCTTTGGAAGAGAAGGCTTAAGTCTAATTTGATTCTCTACTTCAAACTACTCAAAAACCTTACTTATTCAACATGTAAGATAGCTCTTGCCCTAGATTCACGTGAATACGAGCTTCGAAACAAAGTATCTATGGTCAAAGTTGAAAAATACGGATCAAAAACTCGGGAAAACTTCTTCCTCATCAAATATGCAATAATATGGAACAGTCTCCCCTCCGAAATACACATGGCAGATGCATTACATACGTTTGTGAAATTGCTTGATCAAGCGCCCACTTGCACTGATCTAGCACGTAAGAAAACATCTGCGCCCCACTCAGACATCACAGGCTCTCTCATGACATATGCTTAGTTGTTTGAGGTGAACTCAACCAACCAACCTAAGATGTTACAGATGCATCTAGTGAAATGCTAAGACCGAAGTTAAGTGAACCAATTAATGTTTTCCACAAGTCCAATGATCACTCCGAGGTAGAAAGATAAATTGTCTAGACTATTCACCTCTTTCTGTATCCCTCAATTCAACTGCCTCTGCCTGAAAGTAGCGTCCAGTCCGTAGCGCGCGCATTGATTTGACGTCACTCCGTCGTGCAGCAATGGGTGAATGATGTGATCTGCGTTTTTTTTATGCTTTTTACGTGGAGGTGAAATAAGGCTTGGGTTCAAATGCAGCAGTTAGAGCAGTACGTTCTTCTTCCTGTTTGTGCTTGTTGTGCTGACTTTACACTGTCAAGTACATAGTGTATGTCTTGCATGGTACTGAAGTCTTTCGATATATAGTACGTCCTTTTCAGTTGTCGCAGTTTAAACCCAGCCATCTGGTTTATATAGGGATTAATTGTTTTAAAAGCAATTTTAGCGGGTATAGTAGTGTCTAGTGCAGATTTGATGGTGGTATTGAATATTTCTAATGTTTCTAAGAGGTTTTCACTGGTAAAGAAACTGATCCAGTCATAGTGCTTTATTAGAAATCGAAAGTTTTACCAGTCAGTGCTTGCATAGTCTCTATATTGGAAATGCGTATTTAATATCTTTACATGGCAAGAATCGGAAGGGTGTAGAGGACTATTTTATAATCGCTGTTGTGAAACTTTTCGCCAAACACCATTGATGTTGGTGCGGCATTATGACAGAATATCAAGTCAAGAATGTTGTGATTTTGTGTAGGCAGGTGTACATGTTGTTGCCAACCGTGTATGTCTAATGACTTAAGTATCCTTTCTAAGCACAATGGGCCAGAATGTATCGCCCAGTTGATGGTGTGAAGGTTGAAATCACAACATACAATTTAGTAAGTGAAGTCAAGCGAGACAGCCTGAGCAAATGATTCACTTATAATAGTGTCATTTGAACTAGGAATGTTAGGAGCTCGATATATGCATCCGATTAATATTTTAAATTCATGAGTGTGCACAGTAAGCCATATCGATTCTGGAAGTTTGCTGAAGACATGGTCGCTATAGATGTCCGCTTTCAAACTTTTTGATACATAAACAAGACAACCACCACCCTTCTTGGTGACTCGATCACAGCGGAAGGGTTCATAGGTGTCTATTTGTAGATATGCGTCTGTGGTATCGGAGGACAGACAACTTTCTGTTATCAAAACAAGTGAGGGGTTGTTTAAAAGTAATAGGGTGCATGGGTGAGTCATCTTACCTCGTACAGATCGAGCGCTGACTAACATAAGTGTCAGGTACGGCGAGTGTTTGTCTAGCAGAAGGGTATGATGTAAACCCAGTGGAAGAATTGGGAGTGTTGACTCCATATTGATGAGCGTTTAGTTTATTACCAATAGGGTTAATGCGAGAAAGGTATTTGGAGGTTAGTTTGATGAACGAAGTATGTTAAAGAGTGAGAGGTAGGGTTGAATGGTTAGATAGTGTGTTCGGGGAGTGATCAGGAGATTCAGTCAAGGAGCTTTTAAGACCAGATATAGTTATCGACGTTGAGAAATATGTGCGAATCCCCATTAGTTCGGAATGCATAGATGGTCTCAGAATAGTGGGATTGTTGACCTCAACAATTGGAGACCCCATAGCAACACTGTTGAGAGGGGAAGAGATAAGAAAGGATGAGATGGTGTATATGTCGAATTAGGGGGATTAAAGAGTTATATAGTGCAGCTTGACTTGGATAGTATCTAGAATTAGTAGGTGGGTTCCCGAGTAGACCAACATTACGGCTTCCTTGTGAGCAGCTGGCAATTTTATTCCTATTATGGGTAGTTGGGGAGATTGTATGTTTCTGGTAAGGAATGAAGGATTGCCTGATATTGTTGCCAAGAGAGGTGTTTCTGTTGTGTATAGTTGTGTGCTGGTTCATGGAGCTTACAAGGTTCACACTATATGACTTATAGGTATCACGTGTAGGTGTGGTTCTTGTCGAGTGACGTTTCACGTTAGGATTAGTAGGTACTGTCGGTTCACTATGTTTGTTGTAGGGCATTCTACTGGTATGAAAAGGTGCATGTTTTGGGTTAGGAGTGCTGGAGTACTGATGGGTTTTTACGGAGAGTTTGGTATTATTTCGTACAGCGGTGTCTGAGAGTCTGTAGCTGTTAGCGCAATTCCTGGGGGGATCATTTTTAGGCTTCTTATAGGGGCCACTAGGGCACTATTGAGGCATAAGTGGATTAACATTTTGGGGTAGCTGAGTGTTTGCAGCTGCTCTATGTGTAGTCTTGTTCTTAGGACTAATAGCAGCATCCGACGTGCCTCCGTTTTTGGGAGGGGTAGTGTATGGTGTTTTAGGATTTGTGCAGTGACAAACGCTGTAACTGCCGCGGCTACGTAGGCTGGGTTGATTAGTTTGTGTTCCATTGAAGATTCGACGCTGGATAGTAGTCCTGTCATGGATGATTCTTATCTTTTAAATTGTTAGGATACGCCTCAGTAATGACCGACTATTAAGGAAGTGATTGGCTTCAGTGATACTAACAAACTGACATAGAATAAGACCGGAGGCTTTAGTGTGTGCTTTATGTAATCTTCTTGTTACACACCAAGATTGCGACAATCCACATTCTTGTGGAAGAGTATTTTTAGCAATCTTTACGTTCGGACTATCAGGTATATTATACACAATGACACTGCATACACTGAAGTCTTTTCAACACGTCGGATGATATTTTTGTAAGGAATGATGGATAATGGCTAGCTGTGGAATCTAGGACGCACGTTTCATCCTATTTCAGACTCGTCAGCTGGATGTACCTGCATCTCCGAGTTCATGTCCACTCTGGGACTCGAACCCAGTGCCATTCGCTTCCAACGCCATCGCATTATCCACTTGGTTACTGAGTCCTGACAACCAAAGATACAAGCCAAACAATATCAAGTGAATTTAAATTCACCCCATTGCACAAGCAAGTGGCTTTCAGGACTCAGTAGCTGAGCGGATAACGCGATAGCGTTTGAGGCGAATGGCATTGGTTTCGAGTCTCAGAGTGAACATCAACTCTGAGATGCAGGCACATCCAGTTGACGAGTCCGAAATAGGGAGAAACACGCGTCCTAGATTCCATTGCTCACAATAAGTTTGTGAATTAAGGTAATATCGAGGCATACGCACAGTATGCATATATACCAATAACAGACTGATCAATTGCAGTCTTAAACCTCGATGGGAAGATACAAGCCAAACAATACCAAGTGAACTTCAGATAATGTATGGTCAATTACGATTTCAGTGTTTTTTATGATTTCGAGATCGGGATTTTCTGGAACATTGATCAAATATTTGAACGGTAATAAGTCTTGGGTAGTTCGAGTGACGCTATGTTCGGTTTGGCTGCTTTTAGATCTACCAATGGTGAGATTATTGGAATTTATATCAAAGTTTTTAGGGTCGATATGGTTACATACAGACCTGTTGCAGGTGTCTACCGGGTGGTCACCTTGTGCATACTTAGTTGGTGATGGGAGTATATGTCTGGGTAGGTAGTCAAGATCTACATCATCGGGCTGGCTATTGTAGGCAGGCTTACATGGACTCCGTGGGCTGCTACTCACGATGGCCGATTGTGAAATTGTTGGGTGTTTGGGGTCAGCCGCACTGTCTCAATACTGCTCACAACATGCGATGATTTTGCTTGAACTGACAAATGATGTCGACTCTAACGGTGTGTGACTGCCCTTAATTGTATCTATAAGCGAGATACAAGGTAGTGATATGTCGTGCTCAAGTAAACAGTGCACGTTTAGTGTAGCTGAAGGGAGGTCAGAATAGGATGCAGACTGATCAGTGTGTTGATAAGGTTTCAGATTATTCGCTTTAGTGACTGATTTGGATCATTTGCAGGTGCTATAGACATCAGGAGAGGCTATATGTTTTTTAGATGGCCTGGACATTATTGGAAGTAATCTAAATATAAAGTTTAATTAGGTAAACACCGAAAGTTATAATTTAACTTAATTGACGTGCAAAGTTCTATGGTAGGATCAGATACAGTATTAGTTAAGAGCAAATATATTAACGTTAATTAGTGAAGAGATAGACAGCGTGAAAACTAGCAAAATTAATGCATGACGTTGAGTCCCAAAATGAGGTGTCAAGTCGATAGAACCCTATCAGTGATGAATTATTTATCGCTAATAAATGTTAA